GGAAATTTCGAAACACGCGGTGACGTCACTGCATCTCTCAAGTTGGTCGTGTGACGGCCTTTAGCCCGTCTTGACTCGAGAGATGACGTCATACCATCTCTAAGCGATGAATTTCTGAGGCATAATGTTTTATTATTCAAAGCCGCATAACTTTTTTAATATTTATCCAATTGCGCTGAATTTTTTTTTGTGTGCTATATGTGAGTAATACTCCATAAAAATATCAAAAAACGTGGTTAATGGAACCTCACTGAACGAGCCTATTGCCTAATATGCAAACACCTGTACAACCCGACGACAAAACCCAAACGAGAAGGGATGACAAAATTAAAAGCCCCTGCCATCCTTACCCTGGGGAAGAACACTAACATAGGAATTGCACATCACAATCAGATTAAATAAAAACAATAAGTACATGTCAGCAATCGTGGATACAGGAGCACAAGATAGCGTTCTACACTACAAAGAAGTCTAATCAAAGAGGAACTAACAAGAAATGACGACACGGTTCTAGTCACTGCAAGGGGACACCCAGATAAAAGTTTTGGGAGCCATTGAAGTTCCGATAGAAATACCAGGAAATCAAAAATGGAAGGGCAGACTAAACGCCAAAGTGATATCATCATTAACTCAACCAATAATCCTAGGCATGGAGTTTTTGAAAAAAAAATAACGCAATCATAGATCTCCCACAGAAAAAGCTGATTCTGAATGGTCAGCATGAAATACCCCTAAGACAAATGAATAACGAAAAAATCCACGTCAGGTCTGGTCACGACAAAACAGCCGACTAAAACGAGAAAGCTTAGACTAGATACTTCAAGAAATGAACAAGAGTTTAACAAGTTTGTAAGAGAGCACATTCACATAAAAGATGACCAGGTTAACGGTCTTTTGGAAAAAGAATATGGAAACATAGAAGTCCTAACGAACGACACCGTTTTAGTAGTGGGAGTAACCCAAAACTACAAATCAAAAAAACCAGTTTTCAGAAAATATAGGCATATGATTCCAAAAAAAAAAAAAAAGAAAGGGACCATTGGGGAGCTATCTATGTCAAAACAAGGAAAAAACTCAGTCATTTTTCTATTCACAAGAGAATCAATGAAGGAGAAGCCAAGTCCAAGAAACATGTATAAATGTCTTATAGCACTGAGGAACAATATCTCAAAAAATAAATCCATCAAAAAATTAGTCATCCCAAGACAAGGATGGGGATTAGAAAAAGAATGGGCAACATTTAAACAGATGATATATTTTCTATTTGAAGATGCAGAGGTTCAAATTCACATTTATACAAAGGAAGAAGGAAGTAGTCGAAAATAAAAGCCAATCAAATACTCGCCGACGTTTCGCCTTTATTGTTTAAAGGCATCTTCAGGGCTAAAAAACAGTTAGGGACTTATGAATGCCGAATAAATAAAATTAAACAAAATTTACCTTGTATTCAAAACATATTAAAAGCTGATTGTAAAAAAAAATCCAGCTTCACCTATTTTTGCAAATATCGTTATGAATGAGCTAATCTCTTCGGTTTTGCCACAATTACCATTTGCAGTACTTTTTTTGTCCCTATATGTGGATGATGGACTATGATCCCTAATGATGCTGATAATATTATTTTAGATTGTTTCAATGGTTTCCATAATAATTTGAAATTTACAATCGAGAAGGAGAGGGATAATAGGTTACCTTTCCTTGATGTTTTGGTGATTAGAGAAACGAATAAACTAATAACTGATTGGTACCAAAAACCAATCGCATCAGGTAGAATGATCAATTATAAGTCTGACCATAATATGACTCAAAAGATTGCTGTCATAAAATCGCTCAAGCATAGAGTAATGAATTTAGCTGATCCTCAATTCCATGAGCTGAATTTCAAAAGAATCTTAGATCTGTGTAGGTCCAATAATTATCCTGTTTCTCTAGTCAACACTATTTTATGTAATACTCCCCCAATTGGTTTAAATAGTGTTAGTAATCTTGATCTAGGTGTTAAATTTTTTAAAATTCCCAGGATAGCTGGACTAAGTGATTGATTATTGAAAACTTTAAAGATTGATGATAATATTAGGATTGTTAATTATAACATAAAGACTGTGAATAATTTATTTACTAGAACTAAAGACATAGTCTCGTTGGGTGATAGGTCTAGCTTGGTATATAGGGTCAATTGTTCAAATTGTGATAAAATTTATATAGGTGAGACAAAACAGAAATTGTCTAAGAGGTTGTACCAACATACGTATGATTGTCGTATTCTCAACCAAGATAAAAGTGAGAAGACTGCATTGGCTACGCATCATTTTAATACAGGTCATATTTTCGATTTTGACAATGCAAGCATAGTTGCTAGAGAGGTCAATTGGCAAAAAAGAAAAATACTAGAAATGCTATACATTAACAAATTCAAAGATATCACAGTTAATGTTAAAACTGATATTTGCAACTTAAAGGGGGTGTGCGCCAAAAAATTAAAGTTTTAGTGTAAAAAAATCTAAGAATAACTGTTCAAACCTCGTTATTCTACGATAAACCATCGCTGAGATATACCGCTTTAAAGTGTGGACGACGCTCTCGTGACGTCACGAAAACTTCGTCCAGCGGCGCTCTGCATTGTTAATTTGATTGTTCCCGGCACGCGTGAGTGGTTTTTGTTTAGATTATTGCAGATAACACAGGAAAAACATTATGTAAATTTAATTAAATCCACTTTCTCGTGCGTCGCTTGAGCTTTCGTGACGTCATAGGGTGAGATGCGGTACCTTCATAGAGCCATATCTGCGGTATTATTTGTCATAGAGGGGTGCGGATTTCACTGTTATTCTTAGATTTTTTTTCTCTTTTTTTTTAGATGAAGTTGTTTTTTTGGCGCACACCCCCTTTAAATCTACTGGAATTTGTTGAGGGATTAGTGTTTTATGTATGCCTTGACCTAAAGTTTTTATTATTGTTAAAGTGTATCGTGTCGTGCCTATTTTGTTTATTACCACCTAGATGCAGACACCTATTCATTTATTTGAATTCAAATTTAAAATCGTTAATAACAGTAGTTTTATTCTTAGGTTAGTTGATTCTGTACCCTTGCCATAACTTTGTGTTTTGATTGTTCCTAAGTATCTGAGTTGTTCTTTTTGTATTGTTCATGTTTTTAACTCTTTTATTGTTCGTATGTTGTAACAACTCAGACCGTAAAATCTTACTTACCTATATGTTTTACAATCAGCTTTTAATATGTTTTGAATACAAGGTAAATTTTGTTTAATTTTATTTATTCGGCATTCATAAGTCCATAACTGTTTTTTGGCCCTCAAGATGCCTTTAAACAATAAAGGCGAAACGTCGGCGAGTATTTGATTGGCTTTTATTTTTTGTCCTTATCCGACTACTTCCTTCTTCCTTTGAATCTATTTGGGGACACGAACTTCTTCTACATTCACATTTATAGGGAAAAACCTGGGTATAAAGCTAAAGAAGAAAAGCAGGAAGAAGAAATCAGGCATCTGATACAAATCGGTACAGAAACTAAGAAAAAGACATATAAATTGGGTACAAAAAAAGATTACCGGACACAGCAAAGCCAAAACCAGAACTAGAAGGATAACTGGTACCTTGCGATAGCTCTGAACTAACTAGGGACTCATGTATCAATAAACAAGAAAAATAACAGTCCAGGAACCAGGCAACGACACTTAGGCTGTGGTACCGTACACCCCACGATCTAGCTGACCCACCATGAAGTACTTGGAGCTAGAACCAATCCGCTCAAAAGAAAAAATACAGAACAGTAGAGAAGCATAACAAACCAGGAACCAGGCAACGACACTCAGACAGTGGGACCGTTTACACCCCACGATCTAGCTGACCCACCATGAAGTACTTGGAGCCAGAACCAATCTGCTTGAAAGAAAGAATACAGAACAATAAACAAGAAGCATAACAAATCATGAACCAGGCAACAACACTTAGACCGTGGGACCGTTTACACCTCACGATCTAGCTGACCCACCAGAAAGTATCCACTTGGAACCAGAACAAACCCACAAGACAGAATGTAGGACCGGACCAAAAGAAAAAAATCCATGGCTGAAGCTGTAAAGTTGATGAAATTTTTTAGGTATAAGATATTTTTTGTGTTAACCTGAATAATAATGCACCCTGACCCATCCCACCATAAAAAACTTTTGTTAATTTTAATTTTTAATTTTTTACTATACTCGATATTTGGATTATATAATTCTTAAGCAGGGATATTTCATAATTAGGACATTGTAAAAAAGGAAAAAGGGATATTTCAGGATTAGGATATTATATTTTTTTACATTATTATGATATTTCTATCAATTTTTTTTTTCCAAGCATTGGATTCCAATGCTTCATGGAGGAGGGGCATATGTCAACTAGCTACTCAGGAAAGGAGGACCCGGTATTCAACCTTATTAATTTAATTGCCGATTCGATCGAATGTTCATTGTAATTCAGCAATAAATTCATATAAATAATGAGCCAAGCCGACCAACAGGCAGACTTGAACCAGTGTTAGTACTATCACCCTGAGAACAGCCCTCTGAAATCAAGTCTCCCCAGTGCAAGTACCGCCACTCTGGGAAAGCCCCTCTAAATGAGAAACAGTTGAACGACGATTAGCATTCAACATAACATCAGCATTAAACAGACATTTCTTCCTAAGTAGCGTCAAATGTGTGGCCCCTTAGAGCATGCATCCTGGAGAATTCATGACGCAATGACTTCATAGCAAATATACACCTTTTTTATATAAAACTGAGCAAGTTTCTCTCCATCTATCCACCCTACACCCCCCGTCGCAGACAGGCTACGATAATATTATGAATTATATTGGTATTAGGTATATTTTCGTTATAGATAAGTATTTTGATAGCCTCCTATGGGCCGATTGACATAATTTCAACTGTTATGTTTCTGTAACTTTGAAATTTTAATAATACATAAAAAAATAAATAAATAAAATTACTCACCTATCTCTTTCCAGCATCATTTTTTCTTTCTCCTCCACACATACTTGCAAAAAGTCATACATTTCTTGTTTCTCCTTTAAAAGCTCATTCTTTTCCACACACAAAGTTTCATAGGCAATCTCGATCTCTTTCTGTTGTTTTTCAAAATCTTCTTTCTCCCTTTTAACTTTATCTAAATCTTTGTCTAGCTGATCCAGGAGCTCGTTCTTTTCCTTCAGTAACTTCTCGTAACCATCTACCATAATAATTTCCTGCTTTTCAAAATCTTGTTTTTCTCTTTTAGCCTCAGCCAAATTTTTAGCAGATTGTTCCAGAAGCTCATTCTTTTCCTTCAAGGACAACTCCATTTCTTGTTGATACTTTTCAAAATCATTCTCCTTCTTCTTCAACACTTTCAATTCCTCCAAAATGTCTCCATTTTCCTTAAGTAATATTTCCATATCCTGATAATCGCTCAAAATGGCAGCCTGTTCCTGATTGCTCTGTTCTAATTGGCCAGAAACTTTGCTCAATTCTCTAAATAGTTCTTCTTTTTCTTTAATACATTTTTGAAGAGTTTCCAGTATTTCGCCTTTATCGGCTAAAAGTTTATTTTTTTCACTTTCCAATTGTTGCGATCGTTGTAATGCAGCCTCAAGTTTGATGTCAGATTCTTGTTTGGATGTGGAGAGTTTCTGTTTGTCACTTTCAAATTTGGTCAAAATATCTTCTAGTTCTTTGCCCTTGGTATCCAGTAATTGTTTTTGGTAAAAAATTGCATTTTTCATTTCGGAAGACAACTTTTCCAAATCTTCTTTGATTTTGACGATTATAGAGTTTTGTAGATAGTTCAACTTAGAATCCAATTCTAGCTTGTCTTGGTTGCTCATTTCTAGAGCCTCTAAAAGTTGGTCTTTTTCTTGTTGTACTTTGAGCAAGTCTTGACTATTTAAATCTAAGAAATTGGATATTAATGATTTTTCTTTTTGGGTATTTTCCAGTTGTTTCACAGTTTCATCTATTAAATTAGTTAGATTTTCTTTTTCCTGTTTTAGCTGGTATGTCAATTCTAGACTTGCTTCTAGTTTTTTCTCCAATATAGTTTTTTCTTCAACTGTTTCATCAAATTTGTTTTTTATGTCCTGAAGAGAACGTGTAACTTCTTCTAATGTAGTTTTGCTATGTTCTAATTCCAAGAAAATTGTGTTTTTTTCAACTTCAGTGTCATTTTTCTCAAGCTTCACAATGTCAAGTTGATTTTTAATCTCTTCTAAGACGGCTAGCCTGTCCTTCTCAGCCTTGGTTAATTGTTTTTGCATTTCAGTTTTTTCAAAAATAACTTTTTCCAGCTCCTGATTGATCAATTTTAATTTATTTTTAGTTTCGTCGAGTGTTTTTAACAAAATTTCCTTTTCTGAAGCAAATTTGGTTTCCATTTGTTTTACAATTTGATTATTTTCTTCTAAAGTGTTGGCTAGGTGATTTTTAGCTTCTTCTAGGGTCTTGAGATGCTCAATGTCAGCTTGTTTCATAAATTTTGTTTCTTCTTGAGTTTTGGTCAATAAAGTTAAAATTTCATTTTTTTCATGCCTTACTGTTTCCAATTGATTTTTAGCCTCTTCTAAGGCCTTCATATGCTCATCTTCAGCGTGTTTTATAAGTTTCTGCGATTCTTCATTGGCTAGTTTCAATTGATTTTCAGCTTCTTCAACTGCTCGTTTTAAATTGTCCTTCTCTAGGGTGAATTTTATTTCTAGTTCTCTAAAATTTTGCTTATTTTCTTCCTGAATTTTGGCCAAGACATCATTTGTCTCTGCTTCCAGTCGATTTTTATTTTCCTCCAAGGCACTTAAATGTTTGTTTTCAGTTTCTTTCAATTTCTCTTTGGTTAATTTCAGGTTTTGTGCAAGTTTTTCCTGCTCCATGGTAGCACTTTTCAAATTTTTCTCCATCCTCTTTGACTTTTCCTCACTATCTTCCAATTGTTTTGAAAAATCTTCCAAATAAAAATTCATACTTTCTCTCTCCAATTTTAGATTGTTGCATTCCAATTTTTTAGCCTTCAAATGTTGTTCGAGGCTCTCAATTTTGTTTTTAGATGTTTCAATGAGATCGAAGCATTCTTTCAGTTCACTTTTCAACTGTTCTAGTTCGGACGTTGTGTTTTTTAAGTCGGCCAAGGCCTTGCCTAAATCATTATTCTTTTCTGTTAATTGTTTTTCTAGCAATGTGTTTAATGTAATTGTTTCGTCGAGTTTGTCGGACTTTATTTTTGTGTCTATCAATTCAATTTGTATGGATTCCAATTGTTGTGACTTATACAAATTGTCGGTTCTAAATTGGTCCCTTTCTGATTTTATTCCTGCTAATTCGGCCAGTATCAGGGCCAGGTTCTTTTCAATATCCTCTTTTTCATTTTCCAAGGTGCTTACTTTGTTTAAAGTATCTTCAAGCTGATTTTCCAAGTTAGCTTTAATTTTTTTGGTTTCCTGAAGCACTTGTTTAGTTGTTTCATATTCTGTTTTGGAATCATCTAAATTTTTGGTCAAGACCTCGAATTTTTCAATGGAAGAAGCCAAACTCTTCTGAGTGTCTGTCAAATTTTTATTTATTTCTTCATGTTCAAATTGTAAAGATTCCAGTTGTTGCGATGTAAATAAATACTCGCTTTTATAGTGGTCCCTTTCTGATTTTGTTTCTGTTAATTCTGCTAATGAGAGAGCTAGATTATTGTCAGTGTCTTCCTTGGATTTTTTTAGGTTGTTTATATCAGCTAAAGCATTTTCAAGGTCTCCTTCCAAATCGTTTTTTAGTTTTTTGGTTTCTTGAAGCACCATTTCAAGTGTTTCATGCTCAGTCTCAAAATATTTTACATTTTTGGTTAAGCGTTCAATTTTTTCATTGGAAGAAGTCAAATTATTCTGAGTTTCTGTCAAATTCTTCTCCATTTCTTTATGTTCAAATTGGATAGATTCCAGTTGTTGTGATGTAAATAAATATTCGCTTTTGTATTGGTCCCTTTCCGATTTTGTTTTGGATAACTCCTCCAATGACAGAGCCAGATTATTTTCAATATCTTTTTTAGCATTGTCCAGGGTATTTACTTGGACTAAAACATTTTCAAGCTCTACTTCCAAATCGGTTTTAATTTGTTGTGTTTCTTGAAGCACCCGTTTAGTTGTTTCAAGCTCAATTTCCAAATTTCCTAAAGTTTTAGTTAGGAGTTCGATTTTTTCATTGGAAGAAACCAAATCCTTCTCAATGTCTGTCAAATTTTTATTACTTTTCTCATGTTCAAATCGTAATGTTTCCAACTGTTTTGACGTCAACAGATGATCGTTTTTAAATTGGTCCTTTTCCAACTTTATTTGTGATAATTCCTGCAATGAGATGGCTAGATTCTTTTCAATTTTTTGTTTGGCATTTTCCAAGGTACTTACTTCAACTAAAGTATTTTCAAGTTGAGTTTGCAAGTCACTTTCTATTTTTTTTGCTTCTAGAAGTAGCTTTTCAGTTGATTCACTTTTAATTTTAATATCTTCGAAGTCTTTGGTTAGGGCTTCAATCTTTTCATTGGCAGAAGCCAAATTCTTCTGCGATTCTATAAAGTTTTGGTTCATTTTTCCATGTTCAAATTGTAAAGATTCCAATTGTTGTAATGTAAATGAATAGTCGCTTTTTAATTGGTCCCTTTCCGCTTTTGTTTTTGATAATTCCTCTAACGACTGAGTCAGATTCGTTTCTATATCTTTTTTGGCATTATTCAGGGTATTTAATTTGACTAAAGTATTTTCAAGCTCTATTCCCAAATAGGTTCTTTGTTTTTTGGTTTCTTGAAGAACCTGCTTAACTGTTTCATGTTCAATTTTGAAATCTTCTATATTTTTTGTAAGCAGTTGGATTTTTTCATTTGTAAAAGCCAAATTCTTCAGCGTGTCTGTTAAATTTCTGTTTACTTCTTTATGCTCAACTTTTAAAGATTCCAGTTGTTGTGAACAAATTAAATAGTCGCTTTTCAATTCGTCAGTTTCTGATTTTGTTTTTGTTAATTCCTCCAATGAGAGAGCAAGATTATTGTCAGTATCTTCCTTGGCTTTTCTTAGGTTGTCTACATCAGCCAAAGTATTTTTGAGTTTAACTTCCAAATCGGATTTTAGTTTTTCGGTTTCTTGAAGATTTCTTTCAATATCTTTTTTAGCATTTTCCAAAATACTAACTTCAACTAAAGTTTCTTTTAGTTGAATTTCCAAGTTGCTTTTTATTATGTTGGTTTCTAGAAGCACGTTTTTAGTTGTTTCATACTCAATTTTAAAATCTTCCAAGTCTTTGGTTAACTGTTCAATTTTTTGATTGGAAGAAGTCAAATTCTTCTGTGAATCTGTCAGATCTTTTTTGATTTCTTTATGTTCAAATTGTAAAGATTCCAGTTGTTGTAATGTTAATAAGTATTCGCTTTTAAATTGGTCCCTTTCTGATTTCGTTTTTGTTAATTCGTCCAATGACAGAATCAGACTCTTTTCAATGTCTTTTTTGATATTATTCAGGGAGTTTACTTCAACTAAAGTATTTTCAAGATTTATTTCTAGATCGGTTTTTAGTTTTTTGGTATCTTGAAGCACCTGTTTAACTGTTTCATGTTTAATTTCAAAATCTTCTATATTTTTTGTTAATAGTTCAATTTTTTCATTTGAAGAAGCCAACATTTTTTGTGTGCCTGTTAATTTTTTGTTAATTTCTTCGTGTTCAAATTTCAAAGATTTCAGTTGTTGTGAACTAAATAAATAGTCACTTTTCAATTCGTCCCTTTCTGATTTTGTTTTTGTTAATTCCTCCAATGAGAGAGCTAGATTATTGTCAGTGTCTTGTTTGGCTTTTTTAAGGTTGTCTACATCAGCCAAAGTTTCATTAAGTTTAACTTCCAAATCGGCTTTTAGTTGTTTGGTTTCTTGAAGCAATTGCTTAGTTGTTTTTTGTTTAATTTTAGATTCTTTTAAATTTTTAATTAAGTGTTCGACTTTTCTATTGGAAGAAGCCAAACTCTTCTGTGTGTCTGTCAATTTGCTATTAATTTCCTTATGTTCAAATTGTAATGATTCCACTTGTTGCAATGTAAATAAATGATCGCTTTTCAGTTCATCTTTTTCCGATTTTATTTTTGCTAATTCTTCCAATGACAGAGTCAGATTGTTTTCAATAGCTTTTTTGGCATTTTCAAGGGTTTTTACTTCAACTAAAGTATTTTCAAGCTTAATTTCCAAATCGCTTTTTAGTGCTATTGTTTCCTGAAGTAACTGCTCAGTTGCTTTTTGCTCAAATTTAGAATCTTCTACATTTTTTAATAAAAGTTCAATTTTGTTATTGGAAGAAGCCAAATGCTTCTGCGTGTCTGTCAAATTTTTGTTAGTTGCTTCATGTTGGGATTGGAGAGAATTAAGCTGTTGCGACTTATCTAGATATTCCTTTTTCAATTGAACCTTCTTTGATTTTGTTTTGGATAACTTCTCCAATGACAAGGTCAGTTCATTTTCAATGTCTTTTTTGGCACTTTCCAGGGTGTTAACAAGGGCTAAGGTGTTTTCAAGTTCAATTTGCAAGTCAGTTTTCGATATTTTGATCTCTTCAAGCAACTGTTCAGTGGTTCTTTGTTCAATTTTAGTTTCCTCCAAACTTTTAATTAGATGCTCAATTTTTTCATTTGAACAACTTAATTTTTGTTTAAGTTCTTCAATTTCCAGCTGTTGCTTTTGATTGGATTCTCTTGAATCTGCAAAAAAAATAAATTAAATTATAAACTGAGAAAAAATAATATATAGGATTGGTGACGAAGCAGCGAGAATATAGGAACCCTTATAAAAAAACAGCAGAAGAACGAAAAATAGAGATATGGTAGGTATGAAATTGTTCCAGTAGAACTAGTAGAAGAAAAGAATGGAAGGAATATGACATATTATGAGATCACCAAGATTCAAGATCATAAAGATTATAAGTTATGAAATCAGACTCAAAGAACCAACAGTCTCCAAATCATTAGAGAAGAAAGTTACAGCAAAATAACCAGAAATTGTAACACTGTCAAAAAAAAAGCCAAGGAAGCAGGCATCGGTGATTTTTACAATCACTATTCCAAAAAATACTTGAAAAAATATTGTCGCGATGCGCTTTCGCCATGTACCTAACTTGAAATCTAGAAAATACTGCTTTATGTATTACGGATATATGTATAAAGGCCAGTATTAGTTAGTCGTTTTGAGTTTTAAGATCGACGTGATATGATTTAGATTAGATAAGGATTATTGTTGAGAGATGTAAAGTGAAGAGTTTAGTTGTTTGAGTTAATTAATGCAGTAACTAGTGTCAGAGTGTGACCGAAAGCGTTAATATTCTTAATACCCGTGTCTTAGAGTTGCTAAGGTAAAATTACCGATGGTAAAATTACCGGTAATTTACGTAAAATTACCCATATCTCGGTAAAATTGGTAAAATTGGACGTAAAGTCGACAAAAGTACGTTATTAGTTCTAGAATTACAAACACGGGTCTCATAGCACTAGAAATTTCAAAATTATAAGGAAAACCAAGGATATGCGTTAAATTGAAAATTGAATTTTTAATTTATCTCCCTTTATTTTGAAAAGTAGAAAGAGAAAGCAGTGAAGTTGAGAGTAAAATAAGTCGACAATCACAGACATTGATCATCAACATGATCCGCATTTAATAAAATAACATGTAAAGTTCTAGTAGTCAATAAAATAACATTTTTTGAAACACAATTTCTCGACGGCGTGTAGCTCAAACTTGAAAAAGAAGAGGCCTTTTGAAGAGAATTCAATGCCCTTCAAAAAGATGTATGATGTATCACAACATACCCCTTTCCATTTGAAAAAATTAGTGGTGTAGCCGCCACCGCTAGGGGGTTGCGGTTACAGGGATGATATTATAGTAAAAAGAAGCGGCATCCTAAAGAGAATTTAATGCTCTTTAAAAAGATGAATCACACAAATAAATATCCAAATTAAGTTCTATTCTGCTTTACCAAATAACGATCCAAATATGGATTTAAAGTGTTCCACTTGTGATAAGGCCTGCTTTCAAAAGGAAGACAAAAATGAGCTTTTTGGCTTACCATGTGACATTTGTCGCAAAATTTTATGCAGAAATTGCTCTGGAATCAGGAGCTCTGAGATCCGAGTTCTCATAATGAAAGAACGCTGCCTGAGATATTTTTGTCCTAGCTGCACGGACTGTTTCCAGGCACTGCCAGGGTTAAGCATAAGACTTCACGAATTGGAAGCAGAAGTGAAAAAGCTTAAAGCCGACCGAAGGGTAGTGCTTTCCAATCAAAATTGTGTTCTTGAGGATGATGTAGCAGAATTAAATAATGATTTGGAAGTAACTTCACCTATTCCTGCCAATGGCCAACTTACTTTAGAGGGCATTGGAAATGTAATGGCCCCACTGATCACTGGAATACTTGAGAGGATTCTTGATGGTCAGGCTGAACTTATTTCAAATAGACTGGAAGGCACCTGCAAAGCCATTCTGGATTCGAATAAGGAACTTATCGGATTCATGTCCAAATCCTATATACCACTGCTATCTTCAATAAAAAGGCATGAACATTCTACTAATGTCCCTGCATGCTTGGAGGAAATGGAGCATAATGCGTCAAGCAAACTGGTAGATCCTGCACAGCCCCGCGCCTCGATGGCAAAACCTGTTCAGACAAAAAATGGCAATGAGCCTACAATATTTACATCATCACAAGTAGGCCGGGCCATTGATGCTGGTCTCACTCACATGCGTTCAGCGGCTGATAAAAGTAGTTTGAAGGCTGCCAGGAATGTTGTATCTGGGAAAAACACAAACAACTTGAATATAACTGCCGCAAAGCCGTGTAAATGGTTTTATGTTGGTAACCTCAGTCCTGATTGCACTGTTGACTCCCTGAAGTCTCATTTGGTTGATGTAGGTCTATCACCCATGGGCTGTGAGAAACTTAAATCTCAGCAAGACCATATTAGTTGTTTTAAAATTGCTATTCCTACTGAGCAAGAATCAATGATTTTGAGTAGCAATAAATGGCCGTTGGATGTCACAGTTAAACCATTTGTTTTCAGGCCAAGGAGACAAAAAGGCTTGCCAGGCTCAAGAAATTTTCACCGGGGCTATCAGGGCAGAATATTTCACAGATAGAAAAACAACCTGGTGGTTCGATGCAGTTTTATTACCAAAATGTTAGAGGTCTAAGAACAAAATTAACTCGTTTTTCCCAAGCAGTAATGTGTGAAAATATAGATGTCATTGTATTAACTGAAACTTTCTTGTGTGAGGACATAAATAGCAGTGAACTGGATCTTTTTGGCTATAACGTTTATCGCTGTGACAGATCTACAAAAACTAGTGCCTGCACCAGAGGTGGCGGAGTCTTGGTAGCCTCAAAGGAGCATATAGCGACCACTCAATTGAGAAGCCCTATTGAACATGTGGAGCATTTGTTCATGAAAATTACTTTTAAGAACAAACATATCATTTTATGTGTAGCCTATATTCCACCTTCATCATCCATCGATGTCTATGATGATTTTTCCTTTGCTGTGACTTCAGTTCTTCAGGTTCATGTAAGTGAAAATTGTGATGTTCTTATTTGTGGGGATTTCAACCTACCAAAGGTATCATAGAACAATGATGAGTTTGGTTCGATGCCAATGGGCAATATAACCCCTCAAGTACAGTCTGTGTCCGAATGTATGGCATTTTTCAATTTGAAACAAATGAATAATGTATCAAATGTGTATGGAGGTTTCCTAGATTTAATTTTTACTAATGTCAATATTAATGTGTCTGCAAATGATATACCGTTAACTGTCTGTGATACTTACCATCCAGCTCTTTCAGTTGTGGTGGACTGTGATACTAAATGTGATTATTTTAACTATGACTATTTTTATTACAATTTTAGAGGGGCTAATTATGTGGATATTAATAGGTATTTATCTTATATGAATTGGAATGAAATCCTGAATGTTTCTAATGTTAATGAGGCTTTAGCCAAATTTTATGATGTTGTATATTATGTTATTGATATTTATGTTCCCAAATGTAGATGTAAAACTCCTAAATTTCCAAGATGGTATAATGCTGAGCTCAAAAGCTTGATATTTCAGAAGAAGAATGCTCACAAGCAATACAAAAAGACTAGATCGTCTGCAGATTATCAAAAATTTTCTTTCCTGCGACATCAATGCAGAAAAAAAGCTTCTACAAGTCATTCAGAATATATTGCCAAACTTGAAAATGAAGTTATAAATAAAAAAGAGTTTTGGAGATTTATTAACTCAAAAAGAGATGGCTTAAATTTACCAAATGCTATGCACTTGAATGACTCAACCAGTAACTCCATGGAATCTACTATTCATCTGTTTGCTGAGCATTTTTCTTCCACTTATACAGGTAACAATGAGACTGATACAAATGGTGGTGAGGGCGAAGACAAAAGTTTAAAGTTCTTTTTAGATTTTGAATACTGTAATATTACCAGTTTAGATGTTCTTAATTCCATAGGAGAGCTAGGCAACAACTTAGGTTGTGGACCTGATGGCATACCTGTTGAATTTTTGAAGGGCACAAAATTTGTATTATCCAATATATTGCCCATGTTGTTCAATCTTTCTTTGTCGAGTGGAGTTTTTCCAGATGTATGGAAGCGAAGTTATGTAACACCCATCTTCAAAAATGGTGACAGATCTGATGTAAAAAACTACAGAGCAATTTCAAAAAACTCAATTCTGTCCAAAATGTTGGAATCTTTTGTAAACAAATGCCTATACCCACTGCTTTCATCTCAGATAATCCCAGAACAGCATGGATTTTTAAGAGGAAAATCCACTATAAGTAACTTGCTGGAATATCAGCAGTTTGTAGTTGAAGCTATGGAAGAACGTTCCCAAGTGGATTCTGTGTACACAGACTTTACAAAAGCTTTTGATAGAATAAATCATTCAGTTTTAATTAAAAAAATTGAGGCAATGGGTGTTCACGGAACTCTGCTGACTTGGTTGAGCAGTTATTTATCTGGTCGAACACAGGTTGTGAAAGTGAAAAATTTTGTGTCGTCAATAATCAATGTATCTTCCGGTTGCCTCAGGGAAGCCATCTATCGCCTATGTTATTCAACTGCTTTATAAATGATCTGCAGGACTGTATTCGTTTCAGCAAAATTTTATTGTATGCAGATGACTTGAAGATTTTTAAGGTTGTTTGTTGTGAAAGTGATTGTCTAAAACTTCAAGAAGACCTACAAAGCTTTGCTATGTGGTGTCAGTCTAATAAGTTGGAACTTAATGTAAGTAAATGTTGTACAATCAGTTTCTACCGATTGAAGGTACCCATTGTATACTCCTATGTATTAAATAATCAGGAACTGATTAGAGAGGAGATCATAAAGGACCTTGGGGTGATGATTAATAAAGAATTCACATTTGGACCTCACATAGAATACCTAAAAAATAGGTCGATTAAATTGCTTGGATTTGTCATTCGTTCACTGAAAGATTTCAAGAACATATATGCATTGAAAAATGTTTACTGTGCAGTAGTCAGATCTGTCACTGAATATGCTTGTCCTGTATGGTCTCCCTATTATAAAAAATGGATCGATGAAATTGAGAGAGTCCAAAAAAAGTTTCTGCGTCATGTAGGATATCGACTAAATATTCCAAGAGATGAACTTCAATATAGTGACATATTGGCTCTCTTGGAAATATCG